ATATAATATAATATAATATAATATAATATAATATAATATAATATAATATAATATAATATAATATAAGTATATAAAACAATAAATTAGCCTTCTAAGAACATGAAGTCAGATTCTCAACTCCTCCTTCACCCTGGGGACCCAGCAAATACCACAGTTCCTGTCCTTGTGCCACCTCATTGATGGAATCAAGGCCTGAAGAGAGCTGGGGAGGGATTTGACAATGGGATAAGACAAGGGGAATGCTGTGTGTCCAAGACCCCCCAATCTCCCCAGAAGGGAATGTGGCCTGTGGAGAACCTGCTGCATGTCTGAGGTGGGCAAAGCCACTGCTGCAAGTGAACCCCAGGCTGAGAGTGCAGGAATTTGTCTTCTTGAATACCTCAGTCCTTGAATGCCTTACTAAAGAGTTTTGCTGCTATGGGCAAACATGGATATAATGACTACTGACAGAGTAAACCAAGCTGCTGCCTGCCCTCTCTCTGAGCAGGCTGAGTGTCACTATCACCCCATTAAATTCCACTCCAGCAGTAGAAACACTGATAAAAAATGTGGTGATAGCACAAGAGGAATGGCTCCCACTGCCAGAGGGCAGGGATGGATGGGATATTGGGAATTAGGAATTCTTCCCTGGCAGGGTGGGCAGGCCCTGGCACAGGGTGCCCAACCCGGATCCCTGGCAGTGCCCAAGGCCAGGCTGGGCAGGGCTGGGAGCAGCCTGGGACAGTGGAAGGTGTCCCTGCCATGGCAGGGATGGGATGAGCTGGATGATTGCATGATTCTGGTAATTTACAGAATCATGCAATGTTTTGTGTTAGAAGGTGCCTAGATTCACTGAAGTTAGATTCAGGATAACCCACAGCTGCTTCAATGTAGCATCATCATTCCCTCAGTGTGCCTGTTTTTCCCTTCTAGAAAACAGAGTCTCGATCCTCCGAGCGGGGGGGATGATGTGCACTGGCTGGAAGGGCCGTAGTGCTGTGCTGTCCCTGGGGGTCAGAGGTGCTGTGGAGAGAGAGCCGGACCCTTGGAGCCCTGGCTCCCGGCCCGTGTCCCTGTGGGAGCTGTCCCNAACAGCCCCCCCTGAGCATCAGCACTCTGCTCCCCTTGGTGCTCCCTGACCCCTCACCCCCATTTCTGTCCTCCAGGGAATGACTCCAGATGGAAACATCTGCAAGGCCTTGGCAGCAGCCTCTAACCCACTCATTCCTAACAAGGCAGGTTTGTTTTGCCAGGGGCAGTGGGAACAGAGCAGCAACACTCAGTGGTTCTGCTGCCTCCCTTAGGATGGGCTTAAATAAAATATCTGACAATCCATTTACAAAAAGGAGCACTGATTTTTAGTGATGAGGGCATAGCCCATAAAATATCAATATTCTCCTGCACTGTGAAGATTCTATTTCTGCTTTGCAGTTTTTAGTCTGGTTTTTGCTCAATTCTCAATAAATATTGTATGTTTTTTTTTTCTTTTAGATGTGGTGTATGATCCTGAGATAATTGTGGCCCTCATTGGGATGCTACAGAAACTCTCCTCCTCCAGAGCAGACAGGAAAGCTCCTGAGGTGTTCATTGCCTCCACAATCCGAAATCCAGCCACGTATCAGCTGTTCCAGGCTGAGCTGGGTGGGTGCTGTTCCATCCAGAGCTCAACAGTTCTGCCTTTCTGCCTTTTCCCATTCCTTGTTCTGTGGTAGAGGAGCAGGAGCATTGTCCAAGGGCAGGATCTTATCCTAGAGCTGGATTTAGGAGCAGTGGCTTTTGCACATGGATTTCATCAGCTTGGAACTCACCTTTGGGTCCATCCTGGCTATCTCAGCTCACATCTGTGAGGGATGATTTGTAATCTGGTGCCAGTGGGAAATAAAAAGAGATTTAAGCTTAAAGGAGGGAGCCATCAGTGCTACACTGTCAGTGATAACAGCTGAGATGCAGCCTAAACCCTTTATCTTATCTCACTTTTCCTTGACCTGACTCTATTTTCACCTTTTCTCTTTTCACAAAAAAACCCCAACTGGAGATTAAATAAAATAGATTTGGGGATTTTTCTTCATATAAACTTCTAAAGCCTATCTTTTGCAGTGTCAGCTGGTGTTCACCACCTGGACCTGATGATCCCTGTGGCTTCCTTCAGCTCAGGATATTCTGGGAGATTCTGCTTCATTCACAAAGTGACACTGAGTGTTCAGCAGAGGCATTAATGAGATTTTTACAAAAACACTCATTTGCCAGACAATCACAGCATGCTTAAGATCTCTCCTTACAGAACTTGTCATGCAACTTTTGCTCTTCCTTTTATTAGGCATAAATATGATTCTCAGTGTTTCTCTTCACAGATAAAGCTGGGATCAGGTGGCAGGTGATTCCAGCCCAGAGCAGCTGTAATTTTCTCTGTGATGTGCAGCCAGATGTAACTATTCTACAGCTATTTGTATAACAGCAAACAGAACTGGAATTTAGAGACCAACAGGAGCTGTGTCAGCCCTGTAACAAGATTATCCTGAATTGTGGAAAGGAGGTTCTGAGGATACAGCTGGACACATGGACTCCTTCCTCTAATTCCCAGCATGGATCCAAGCCTGCAGCTGCCCCTGGGAAGTGACTGAACCTCAAGCAACAGCAAACAAAAAGCCCCAATCACACTTCACTTGGATTCTGTAGAAGACAGCAGAATTCAAGCAGGATTTTTTCCAACTCTGTTGTGATTTGTAAGTGTTGGGGGCAACCTGCAGATCACAGGGTGAGGATCCCACACAGAGAAGGGAGCAAAGCAACGTTTCAGAGTAATCAATGGGTTTTGGTTTTAAAAGCAGCTGGTGTTTTATGTCTGTGTATATTTTATGTCTGTGTATATTTTATGTCTGTGTATATTTGCAGTTTGAGTTGTTTTAAAAACCCCCAATAAACAGTGAGCAGTACCTGCAGCTGTGTCCCAGGATGACTCTGCTGTAAATCAGGTGCATCTTCACTCTGCAGTGATGATGAGTCAGAATTGATGTCCCTTTCTCTCACAGTGGCTGCTGGGGATCCAGGCAGGGCTGGCAATGGAAAAGGAATCTCTCTCCATAGCAGAGTTCCAGGTATCCTGCAAAAAGGACTGAGCTCCCCTGCTCTGAAACCTCCCATCATCATTCATCCCTCTCCTGTTGGGCAGCACTGGTCCTGAAGCACAAACATCAAAGTGATGCTCATTCTTCTCTTTTAGCTTCCTTTTCTCTGTTAAAAACTACTTAGAATGAAATGAAAACACTTCAACCTCCTCCTTCTGTAGCAATGGAGAGAAAACTGATGATACCTAACTTGAAACCTGAAGAATCTTCTTATTCTTCAAGTTTAAGGAGACCATGACTGCTGGGATCAAGCAGAAATAACCCCAGCCCAGGTTTTGGCTCCCTGTCCCCAAAAAGAACTCAAAGTTGTTATTTCCAAAGTAAACACAAACTGGCAGCCCACACAGGAGCTCCTTTATCTCCCCTCACACAAAATTCAAGAAAAGGTTCTGTATAGAGCTCATTTTGGATCTAAAAAGTTCTGTTATATGAAGAGGAAACCTCTCCAAAGCTTTTGGCATTACTGTTTGATTAGAGAAGTGCCAAATTTACCTCCATGTGCCCAGGAATGGCCAAACCTCTACACAGGATTTTGACTAAAAACAGGAAAAAAAAACCACTAAAAAAAGGGCAAATCAATCTTTATGAATCATTCTTCAATCCATAAGCTGGAAGTTCTGCCAAATTCCTGCAGTAAAGCAACTTGTCCCTATTTTCACCTTTTCTCTTTTGACAAAAGCAGATATTCAAGAGTTGCTCAGAGTTTAAAACTGCTGGTGCAGAGCCCAGTCCTCACTCCCAGCCTGAAGCAGGAGCTCTGAGAAGTAAACACAATCCAAGCCAACCACATTCACCAGTAACTGACATCTATTTTATCATCAAAAAGTTGATGAAAAAAATCTTGTAAGCATTAGGCTTGCATGTGAATACTGAGCTTAACAAAAAGCTGAAGGCTGTACCTGAGTAAGCATCACAAAGCAAAGTGCCTTTTGATTGAGTTATACATACTTTGCTCATGTATTTTGGGTTTATTTTTCCCTTTTCTGTCCATCTGTTCAAGAAGAGAGGAATTTTAAGTCCTTTCCCAAGGTGAATGGGCACATTCATTTCAGAGTACAGGGACAACACTCACTGCAAGCTCTGCTTTGCTCCAGGTGCCCAGTAAGCTGTCACACCCCAGTGCTGTGCTTCCACACATTGTCAAAAGGAAAAACAACTTGGAAACAAAATGGTTCTGTCCCAGTCCATCCACACAGGAGGATATTCAGTGCTTGGGCAATTTCTGGCCATCAAACTGACCAGATTAAATGAAACAATTCCAATGAAAAGCATCTGCCATGTGCCAAAGAAACCATACCCAAATCACCTACTGAGGTGCTGACTGTACAGGAGGTGAAGCTGGTCAGAGTTTCTGTCTGTACTCAAGGATCTTCACCAAAAGAAGCAGCACAGGTTCTCACACAACAAACAGCTCAGCCCCTCCAGCACCTCCTGCTCCCCCAGGAAGCTGAAACTGTACAGGGAGAGTGTGAAAGCCAAGAAAAGGAGTTAGAAACTGTAAGTGCAGACAATACAAAATCTTTATTTGTTGGAGATTTTTTCAGGGATGGCCTAGAAGGCAGCTGTGAGGAGCAGGTTCTCACAGCCTGTTTCTGTGAACAACAGAGGTTCTCAGGTTATTTTTAATTACAAGTAAAGGTGACAAACATGAAGGCCTTGAGAGCCTTGCACATCAGAGTTCTCAGACACCTTTCTCATAACAAGTGGATATTCTGTCTTTGGCTGTTTTGGGAAAGCAAGAATAATTTTGAGAACCCAAATCTTGGTATTGGAAACATAAGGAGGGGTTGGTATGTTATCTCTGACCTGTTGTGAGCTCAGATTTTGCAATATGCATGAAGTGAATTAACACTGTTATAAAGGTGACTGATTGATGAATAAAGGGGAGTCGATGGCTGACCAACGCAAGGTGGGTCGTCTCCCTTCCAACTTCAATCTTTATTGACTGTTCCCCAAATCCCTGCAGCTGCAGGGATGTGTCTGACACCCCCCTGCCCCATCACTCCCTGCTGCCCAGCAAGGGAAGGACGCTCTGCTCCCAGCTCTGCTCCCAGCTCTGCTCCCAGCGTGGCTGCCGCGCCTCGCGCAGGTTCTCTCGGAAGCGCTGAAGTTTCCCTTCCAGGCTGGGGAAATCCAAGAAAAGCATCTGTAATTTAACAAACAAAACCACAGAAAAATAACTGTGAGCTTCCATTGCAGGCTCATTGCAGCCTCCCCTCAACTACAGCTGCAGCTCTGGGGTCTGGCCCCATGAAGAGAGAATTTGAAATGCTTTTGCCAGCTTCAGGCTCACATTCACACAGAAGTGAGGCAAACAATGCTCAGCAGGCCAGGCCAGCCTTGTGAGAATGCAAAACACACAGGTGATGTTAGATCTGAAAGGGCTGCTCACACAGTGCCACCTCTGGGGGGAAGAAATCAGTCAGAGCCTTTACCTTCAGCTGCTCTGCGAGTTCCTGCGAGTCCCTGAATATCAGCCCGTTCTCATTGTGCTTCACCAGCTCATGTAAACTGTGAAAAAAGACACAAAAAAAGGAGAACTGAGGCAAAAAGCAGCGAGTGGGACATTTGCAGTGTTGCACAGTGACATCCAAAGGACCAAACCAGGGTATCTGTATCATCATGGCCCCACAGCTGACATCAGGAGTTCAACAGGCAGTGTTAAACAGTTGAACACTTCTCCTTTCTATGTCAGACCAAATCTACCACAACTGTACCAAAGGGCCCTCAATCTGTCTTTGTGCCACTCATCTGCACATCCATTAAAAACCATGGCAATTATCACTTTAAAACTAATTCTTTTTCCACAAGGAAAATCTGTCCATGATCCATCATGAAATCTTCACAGGAATTTATCTTCTTTTATAAAGCTGCTGTTTTCCCAAAGGACCATCAATTCCAAGAATGCCCATGCACACACTCAGCCTTTCACTGAACAGCTGTGTCTATGCAGAAAGATTTTTTTTTAATTAAATATATGGAAATGATGATTTTTTTAAGACAAGTGCTTGCATTAAACGCTCCCAATTTTTTAGAAAGTAGTATTAACTTTTAAACTTAAACCATCCTTGATTTCTATCTTATTTAATTTTTAAAATGGCAGAGTACAGGGATCTCATTGAATTCCTGCAGTAGCTGCTGAACTCTGGCTTTGTAAGAATATTGTTTTATGTGATTGCCTTGAGCTGTAACAGAAGAAGCTCTTACCATTCAAAATGTATTGCACACACAGGTAAACAGCAGCCAAACATATCCACCACCTTCATGGGCAAATCCAAACCACTGGAGGATTTATGGAGACACACCCCCAGGTCTGCTGAGCCTGAAATGCAACACAACACAGCCTGAACTCTCTGAAAGCAGCTCCTCTGTCCTGCAAACCTTCATTTTCCTGCTGCTTTGGATGGAGCAAGTGAAACTTTCAATTACCCAGACACAATTTCAAGCAATCAGGGAAAAAAAATAAAGCACAGGGTGTTTTGGGACTCAAAATTAGTTATGTTTTAGAAAAATAGTGAGTGCATGTTAAATTAAAGGGGATTTTGAAGCTTTATGTATCTTAAAACAGCCTTTCTGCTTCTTAATCTGTTAAAAATGGGCAAGAAAAGGAAAATCCCATCCCAATCCCATCAGGAAACACTGTGACCTCACTAGTGACCTCTCCCAGCTGAAGGCAGCTCAAACACAGGAATTGTAGTGTGATTTTACAGACATTTTGTTCATTTTTTAACAAGGACCAAATAAACAGGGTTTCACAGCCACAGAAATTGTCAGGCTCTAACCCTACAGAAAAATCACATTGAATATGGATTTTATAACTCTATTACTCCCCCTCTGTGCTGTTACAATAAAGATGCTGAGGGAATAACATTCCAATGACATGTTAATTTAGAATTTCAGTTACTTTTGGTAGCTCAGCCAACAACATTTTAATTTCATTTACTGGCCTGACCCTGAAGGTAAAGTAGAACAGGCACAGGCAGCTGTACTTCAGCACAGCTGGAAGAAACAGAGTGCACAGGACAGGCTGAAACAGCACAGCTACTACTTGGGAAAGCAGGGAAAAGCCAGCCAGAGGAATTTCCAACAATTCTTTGCTGGAATGAGTCAAATCCATGAATATCCTGTCAGTAACAGCAACATTCCTGACTGTATTCTCCCAGTCTGCATCAGCCCCTGCAACTGTGCTGAGCTGTTTCCCACACATCCTCAGTCCTTCTCCATCCCCCCTATTTACCAAGCAGAAGAGGGTAATCCTCAGCCTCCAGCCATGGGGTACAGATCTGGATGTGTTTAAAGTGCAGCTTTTGGATCAGCCCCTTGTAATAATCTTTTAGAGGTCCTTTACCTGTGTAAAACAGAAAAAAAAAAAGTTTTATCAAGATGGCTGAAAACAGTGTGGTCTGAAATGCAAGCTCCTGTTGGATCAGGAGCACAAACAGGATACAACACTTGTGGTAGCCTAAAAAGACATGAAAAATCTTAAGTTTCCTTGAAAGGAATGTGCACATGGACTTCTCTTACTCAGTATTTCAATGAGTTTCCCATCAATGGAGAATCATGGAGTTTTTAAGGTTGGGAAAGCCCTCTCAGATCAAGCCCAGCTGTTCCCAGCACTGCCAGGGCCAACACTGTGGAGTGCCACACTCACAGGGCTTTCAATTCCCCTGGGCATGGTGAATCCAGCACTGCCCTGGCAGCTGTGCCAGTGCCTGACACCCCTTCCATGCAGGAATTCTCCCAATATCCAGTCTGAGTCTCCTGGCACAGCTTAGGCTGCTCCCCCTGACTTTGCTTTTGCAGCATCACCTCAACATTGGCCTTAGAGTGTTTTTCCTGCAGAGCTGCAGCAGACAGGGAGGCTCTTTAAGATGTGCCACAATTGGTGGATGGTGCAATAACTCAGCTGGAAATCACTGAATAACCACAAAGGCAACAGTTCCTCCTCCCTCCCACCAGCAACAGAAGAGCCAGCACAGAGCAAAAGTGACAACTAAACCTTCTGCTGGCACTGAAGAACTGTAACACAAACATCCTCACCTGTTATCACACACACCAAAGCTGGAAGTGCAGCTCCCTCCTCAATAAACCTCTCATAATCTGGAGAAGATAAAAACTGGTCAGAGCTGACACATCTCAGGGTGCTTGTTGAAGAGTGGTGACAGTGCATTAATAACTGAGCTTCCCACCACAGGCAATCTCCTTACAAGCATGTGTGAGTAACACAGCAGTAAATCCTGCAATGTTAACATTTACAGACTCCTCCAGAAATAAATCAGGCTGTTTATGCATGAAGCATTTCTTCAACTGCTCCCCAGTCAGTTGCTTCAATAGATCAATTTGGAATTGCAGCTGCAAAGGCTACAAGATAAGACAAAGTATTCCCTCCCTTCCCATTAGCAGATACCTGTGGAGAGCAGATGTAATAGCTCAGAAAATAAAACTGCAGTTTAGGAGCCAGTTAGAGATTTAACTCCCCCTGACAACTCCTCTAATTGAATTCAGATGTTGCACTGCTGTAGTTCAATTACTAATCTGAAATTAGTGCTAATTAATCAAATACAACTGCATTTTCACCTGAATATAGAAGCATGGCTCTTTGGCAAAACCCTTCTTAAGTGGCCAGAAGAGCTCTTTGAAAGAGTGAGACCAATTCCTTCATACCAACCTTCTAAAGCTCTTAAAAGGACTGAGAAGTCTTCATCCTCTGGAAGAGAAGGTTTATTAGTAACATTCATATTTCTACCATTTAATTTTTTTTTACTTGAAATAACAATTGAGATGTTCCTCACCTTCACCTACATAATTTAAATACAGACCATGTACTCAAAGTTAAATACATAGTTTTTACTTAAAGGTTATTATTTACTAAAATGTTCTATTAAAAATCCCCTAGTTTATTTTTATAAATAAAAGTCCATAATCATATGCAGTGTTTATTTATCACCCTTGTGGGCAACATGACAGACAAACCAGCTACAAATACATTATATCTTTGAAGCTATCAAGTTAAAATGTTCTAGTTTCTAAAATTGAGAATTAAGTGTAAAAACTGCCTTGATTATTTAAAGATAAAGACAATCCTGCCCATGATCACTGGCAATGGATTTGTTTCTAGTGTTTGGTCCCTTCCTCAGACAGAGGAAAAAAAATGTACATAATTGTGTAATAAATATCATCAGAAATCACGGAATCACAAATTGGTGTGGGTTGGATGGGACATTAAAGCTCAGCTCATCCCAGGCCCCTGCCATGGGCAGAGGCACCTTCAGGGTGCAGGGTGCTCAGTAAGGAGTAAATTTGAGTTTTTTTCATCTGTTTTACACCATGCATGTATGTCTAGAATGAAAGCTAGAAAAAAAAAAAGGGAACCCTCTTTTAATTATTCTTAAAGTTGAGCTCTATAATTAAAACCCAACTTCAAAAAAACCATTCATTTGCAGTATTATTTCAGTTACACAACACTTGGTTGCACCATACACGCCTTGTCTTCAAATTCTCCCAGGAAAACAAAGGACAAGCAAAACTTCAAGTGTGAGAAAGCACAACCCCCGTGTTTGAGAGGGAAAAGGAAGCGATTCCCGACCTGTCCAGCTGGTGCTGCTGACGAGCAGGGCGGGCCGGCCCCGGGCGCTGAGCACGCGGCCGCTGCTGCCGTCCCTGTGCGTGAAGGCCGATCCGTCAGCGCCGGGACTCAGCTCTGTGCTATGGAAACACAACGGGTGAGCCTGAGCTGCCCCAGCACAACAGCAGCGAGCACTCTGCTCAGCCGGCACCCATCCCACACGTTTGGCTTCAGGAACAGGATCATTACATGACAGAAATACCAGGACAGGGCAGGCCATTTTTCCCTCTTTCCTGCTGCTACAGGCACAATTCCACTTTCCAGCCAAATGTTTTCCTTCACAAGCTGAGCAGAGTCAGGTTCCCTTTCCACAGTCTGTCTCACACTTACCACAGCATGGAGCCCAACAGCACATTGACTCAACTAAACTCAGAACTTATGTAGTTTGATTTTTTAAGATTTTCTAAGCTTTTTGATGTTTACATTCTTGTAATGAACTTTCTCACACACTTTCTGTAAATAACTTTTTGGTTTGCATTCTTTTAGAGAGGAAGAGAAATTTGATGGACTGTTAGTTTGTCCAGTGTCATTGGAGAGGTGGCACTGTCACCCTCCAATCCACTGGCACCTTTAGAAATCTGAGTCAGAAAATAAACTTCCCCTTTTTCACCTTGAGAACAGCAGTGTGTGCTTGTGTTGTTTCATGTCCTATAGTGACAAACCTACACATTCTGAGCTGGGCATTCCCAAAAATTCCCCACCATGCACTGTGGATTTCACTGCTTTTTCAGGCCTTAGTTTGGTGAAGTCAAACATCTGGTACATCTGCTGCAGGTGACATCCTGCACTGCCAGAGGGGAGTGTTTGACCCTTGGACCAAGATCCTGCAGGCTGTGCACAGTAATTAAGGAAGGGATGCTATTAAGGAAGCATCCAAGCAGTGGGGTCAGTGGGAGGCAGAGCTCCACCCCAGACACTTGGCACAGAGAGCCNCCACACTGTGGCTGGTCCAGGCCAGGTGTCACTGGCTTTCTTGCCCACCTGGGCATGTGACCCTCCCCAAGATGGAGACAGAAGTTTTAATCACCTTCTGATGAAGAATATTCGACTGAGAGACTGTAGTGCTCTCTGGAGTGCAAGGCCTCCGGGAGCTGCCCTTCCCCAGCAGCAGGAGGATCCTGAAAGGTCCAGAAGGGTTCCCAGGACCCTTCTGCTGGTGTCAGAAGATGCAGCAGCAGCCTGGAATTTGCATCTCCACCCTTCTGGTAGCTCAGTCCCAGACCTCAGGAAGGATCCCTGCACTGAGTGTGCCAAGGCAGGGCTTTATCCTGCAGCCATTCTGGCAGGCCTGAGCACCATGGCCTTGATTTGTGTGAGAGAGGGGCTGGGTGGGTCAGTGACATGTCCTTCAACTCAACAGCAATTTCAGGGTCACTGTTGAGTCCCTAAGCTCAGCTGTGCCCTGCTGCTCCCCAGCTCTGGCAGGATGTCCCTGTTAAATGGAGCTGTCGTGGTGTTTGGTGGCTTTGTGCCTTCCAAACCACGATCAGAAAAATAGTTTGGGTGTAAGTAATTTTGGCTGCCAGGACAGGGGGGAAAGTCCTTCACTCCTTCACTCTCAGCCTGCATCAGGCCAGCAGGACAGCCCAGGGCAGTCACCCACCCTGCACAGCTGCTGCTGCTCCCTGGGCTGCCAGTGGGTGACTCCAGGCTCTGAAAGCTGTCACTCCCTGCCCAAACTGTTTTGTAGTTTGATCTGCTTTCAGCCACGTTCATGCTGTCTTCTTGTTCCTTTCCCATGGGAAAAGGGAATTTGTTTGGCATGTTTTCCATTCAGGTGTTTGCAATTACACAAAACTTTGTTTGCCTACAGTCACGGATGCCAAACAAAAGTTGAGCATCCAGCTCCCACAAGACATCAGAAAGTCACCTTTAAACCCAAAAAGCAGAGCACAGCTGTCCACCCCTCAGCTGCAGACATCCCCCAGCCCAGGCTGCCCTGAGGCAGGTGTTCCCCTGTGTCCCCAATATCCCTGTGGTGACACACAACACCTGGGCATGGAGGTGGCACCTGAGCTGTCCTTTTGCTGTCTGCACGAGCAGGGGAAGCTCCTGCCCAGATGGAAGCAGCAGGTGCCACCCAGTGCAGCTGCTGCAGGCTGGATGCTGCAGCTCCAAATGCTCTCCAAAGCTGTTGGGTGTCACAGTTTTGGAGAATAGAAGCTGACAGGCAGCAAGATGCTACAGCTGCTTCCACAGATCCCTGAGTATTTGGCTGTGGCTCTGTGACACTGTTGAGTCAGGGATGGATGAAAGGACTCCACGGTTCAGAAGGTGAAAAAGAGAGATTTCATTAAGAGGTTGGTGTCCTTTTATAACCAGGATCACTAAGGTGAAACCCAATTGGTCTCAAAGTAAAAACCTTTCACACTATGGGTGAACTATGAATAGCACACTGTGAAGGTACATATCTATAAACAATGTGAACAGAAAGAGAGATAATAATTGTTTTCATTCTTCCTCTCTAAGTTTCCCAGGCCTGAAGCCTGGAAGAATTCTCTTTGACTGAACTGAGACTCTCCACAGCTCTGTCCTTGTGTTCTGCCAGATGCTTTCTGTTCATTTCCCTGGCTCAGATCCCCTGGCCACGTTGTGTGAGGCACAGTGGCCTGGGACCATGGTTAGCTGTGGGTTTGTGCAGAGATCAGAGAGCAGGGGCTGCTCTGGCTGCTCAAGTGCTGTTTCACACTGCTGGGCCTGGATTTGGATGTAGCTGTCCTTCATTCTGCCTTTTCCTGCCCTCTCCCAGCTTCAGGAGCCTGCTGGCAGCAGGAGAGGCTTTAAGGTGGTTTGTAGTGCCTGTGGTGTCAGGCTTCAGCAGTAGCATTGAGACAATTAGATAGAGCTAAATACTAGCTGAGCAAACAAGCTAATGCCACATCCTCTGCAGTCAGTGATATGTTGACCAATGTTGATAGTATTAGACATGCTACTCTTCAAAACAGAGCAGCCATTGATTTTCTTTTACTAACACAAGAGCATAGTTGTGAAAAATTTAAAAGATTGTGTTGTATGAATTTGTCTGACCATTCTAAATCCATTCACAAAAGCATTCAAAAATTAAAAGATCTGACAGCCCAAATTAAAGAAGATAGAAATTCCTAATTAGATGATTTGTTTCAAAAGTAGTTTTACACCTTAGCTAAAGCAACTTTGCAAGATAAATCTTTATGTATTAAGTGTTCTAATACTAATATTTATAGTAATACCTTGTGTACTTTGTTGTGTTCAGCGAATGATGAACAAAACAGTCCGAAAAATTTTTGTCATACAAGCAAGAGAGTTAAGAAGCAGAAGCACAGAGAGTGTTCGAAATCTCACGAAAGCAGTAAATGAAAATATAGACATGAACAAAAGTTTTGAATTAAAACCTTAAAATCAACCAGAGATTTTCGAACAATAACTTGTGGCTATTACCAAACATGATTCATATCTCTTTCAAAGATTAGACCTTCACAACATTAAGTTGCTGTGCCATACTATAGCAATACTTTAGTGCAAATAAGTCTCCAACAGATAATAAGCAGAAATTTTACAATAGAGTTATAAAACGCAAGTAGTAAGCAACAAGAAAATGAAAACTTCTAAGTCAAACAGAGAGGGGGAATTGTTGGATTCTGGTGCCCTCTGTTCCCAGGTACCTGTCTGAGGAGGATGTGCTGGACCAGTCCAACCCCTTTGTGCAGCTGGTGAGCGGTGTGGTGTGGCTGCTGAGGGATGGAGAGCTGTACATCAACCAGAGCCGGGCAGCCGAGTGTGGGGACACCCAGAGCACAGGTAACTGCTGTGGGCCTGCCTGCAGCCTGCCAGGGGCTGGCTGGCCCTGGCACTCTGGGGACAAGGGCACTTAACAGGAATTGGGTTTGGGTTGGCCCAGATGAAGGCAGGAATGAGTCTGACTCCAAGTTCTCAGAAGGCTAATTTATCATTTTATGATACTATATGATATTAAAGAATGCTAGACTAAACTATGCTAAAGAATACAGAAAGGATACTTACAGAATGCTAAAAAGATAATAATGAAAACTTGGGACTCTCTCCAGAGTCCCAACACAACTTAGCCCTGATTGGTCAAAGAGTGAAAACAACTCACAGCAGAATCCAATAAAACAATCACCTGTGGTAAACTATCTCCAAACACATTCCACATGAGCAAAACACAGGAGAATCAAATTAGATAAGAACTGTTTCTCTTTTCTCTGAGGCTTCTCAGCTTCCCAGGAGAAAAATCCTGGGTGAAGGGATTTTACAGAAAGTGTGAATGCCACAAAGAGGTCCAACTTTGATAGAATCATGGAATAGTTGGGGTTGGAAGTACCTTAAAGGCCATCCTACTCCACACCCCTGCCATGGGCAGGGACCTTCCACCATCCCAGGTCAATCCAAGCCCTGTCCAGCCTGGCCTTGGGCACTGCCAGGGATCCAGGGTGGGCACCCTGTGCCAGGGCCTGCCCACCCTCCCAGGGAACAATTCCCATCCTGTCTAACCAGAAACTCAAAGCAGGTGCCTCCTCCAGGAGTTTGAAGCCAAGGGATTATGAATCCCTGTGCTGGACAAAAGCTTAATCAAGAGCCCTTTTGTAGGGCTTGGATGAACGAGAGGAGCTGGGCTGTGCTCTCCCTGTGTCTCAGTTCAGATGAGGCCCTTGCTGGGAGCTCTTTGCAGCCAGGTGTGTCTCAGCAGCCCGTTGGGTGCCCCAGCTGAGTGGGAATTGTTCCCTGTGCTGCAGGAACCTTCGACAGGTTCATCAATGTGATCTCAGCCAGGACTGCCGTGGGACACGACCGCCAGGGCCGCCTGGTCCTGGTCCATGTGGATGGACAGACAGAGTCCAGAGGGTAAGGCTGGGGAATTCCTCAGTTCCTGGGGCTGGAGGGCTCTGCAGCTGTCAGGGACTTGTTTTAAAGCTGAGCTTTGCAGAGCTCAGGGGAGCCAGAAAAGGTTCACAGAAAAGGCTCAGCTCCTGCACTTTCCCCTTAGCTGCCTTTCATCCAGTCTGGCCCATGTCACTGAAAGCTGTCTTCTCTTGCACTGGCAGAGCCCTGAAGTTGACCAGACTCCCCTTATTTATACATCCACATATTGTCTCCATGCAGGTCTTCTGCCCTGCACTTGCCTCTGGCTGCTGGGGAGTTCCCCTCATTCAGAGTCACCAAAAGCGGTCTGGGATGGGAGAGCTTCCCCTTCCACCACAGAGAGCAGCAAGCTGCTGACCTAACAGCTTCACTGAAGGCAAACCACCAACCAACCTCTGCTTTGCAGGGTCAGCCTGTGGGAAATGGCAGAATTCCTGAAGCAGCAGGGACTCATCAACGCCATCAACCTGGATGGGGGAGGCTCTGCCACGCTGGTCCTGAACGGGACCCTGGCCAACTACCCCTCTGAGCACTGGTAGGTGCTGCTGCTGCTGCCTCTGCCCAGGCCCTGCAGCTCCTGCCAGCCTGCAGAGCCCAGCCCACAGCCTGGGAGGGCACTGCAAAGGCAGGAGAGAGCAGATCTAGGGTTTAAAGAGATTGAGTGACTCCATGTTTTTTCCACTTAGTCATCCAGGATTAAAGCTGAGCTGGTTGCAGACAGGCAGCAAAGCTGTGCCTGTGACTGAGTGGCTGATGGGGGAATGGGATAAGGCAGCAGCTCTTAGTCTGGGAGATTCAGAGCTGCACATCTGGGAGAATTAGCAGAGATCTGTCAGCAGCTTATTATTATGGAAGAGAAACACTGACTGGGAGACTCTGCCCTTCCTCATTGGAAGGAATCTAAAGAATATTTTGTTTTAAATTCAACTTTTTAGTCGGTTCTGACTGTAAAGATGAAGGGATTTAGCATTCAGTTGCCATATATAATGTATATCAAAGCGAGTAACATTGAAGAAAATGTGTGCCAAAATGAGGGAATTTGGGACTGTTGCTCCTGTAATTCCATGTTTGAAATGATACCTATCAGATGGGATTTAGAGCTCAGGTAAAACATTGACTGCAATGCAGTTTGATGTTTATATTTGCCCAGTATTACTGTTGATGTTTGGCAGCGTGGCTCAGGAGGAAATCTCTGGGTTATGTAAGGGCTGTTGGTTGTGCTGGGCAGCGCAGGGCGAGCTCACGCTGTCCCCTCTGCCGTCCCCAGCTCCTTTGACAGCATGTGGCGCTGTCCCCGGAGCATCTCCACCGTNCCTCTCTTCTCTCAGCCTGCTCTGAGCTGTGGCTGCAGCTCCCAGCAGGGCCCTGCCCCCAGGCCCTTTGCAATGAACCCCAAGTTCCTGACCTGGCTGCAGAGATCTCTGTCCCCACTGTGCTACCCCCCAACACTCCCACAGTGCAGGGGCAGCTGCACTTTCCCATACCGTGCTCTGAAGGGCTCGTAGTCCTTGGCAAGTTTCATGAACAAGTTGTGTTGGAGGTCTAATGGTGTTTCCTTGAAATAAGATGCTGGTCTGTCATACAATGTTACAGCCCTGGGAGGAAAGAAGTGTGCAGCTTAAATAAGATACAGATGTAACAACATGCACATGGAACAGTGGCAGGCTGCCACAACGTAATCAGAAAAAATTAACTAGAAAACTAAAGAAATAAATTAAAAAATTAACTATACAGCAAAGTAATTCATTTTTTGACTCTTACAACTTCCTGTATGCCTGAAGTTTATCAGAACACACCAAGGTGGGCACAGGTAACAAAGAACCCCTTTCTTGTGTGCTTATTCTAGGGGTGAAATGCACCACACTACGTGTGCTGATTTTCAAACTTACTCCATAACTGCCCCTGATCCTGAAGCCCTCAAGATAAGCTGGCAGGCTGGAGTAATTGTTCAAACCCCAGTGACACCTGTCCCTCTCTGCCTCCACAGGCAGCCTGCAGCAAACTGCCATGGCTCCTGGAGTGCCACCTCAGTCACTGGGGGGTGATAGTTCAGAAGGATGATGAAGATTCCTGAATGCCCACACCACACTGGCCCATCACAAAACTGAGCTGATGTGTTCAGTGGTGATGGGTGAGCTCAGGAGAGCTGCTTTTGTAAGATCCCTCTGAATCCTCAGGGATCTGTTCTGTCATTTACTTAGTACATACACACAATAAATTGAGGCACATGACTTACTTGATCTTGAAATTCACCCAGAGATCTTTCCTCATGGCATCGGTGACACACAGGTTATAGTCAGACAAGCGCCCAAAAAGTTTTTCATACCTGACAAAAATGAAATATCAGTCAGAAACCACAACTGCAGCAAGTGCTCCCAGTGCCCATGTTTGATGAAAGCCAAACCAAACCCAGAGAAACCCAACTGCCCCCAGAAATGAAATTTAATTGACAATTTTTGATGGACTCCTCCTCTCCAAAGCCTTTAAAGCCTTTAACTACACATAACCACACATTCTATTCAGCATAACCACACATTCTATTCAGCAAGGAGCTGCTCAAAGAAGAGCTGGAGTGTAAAGCAGCATTAAAGAATAAAAACCCAGGATATATAAAGAGATTCCAATAACAAGATCAACATTTGCATAGGTAGGTAAAAGCAACCCTCTCCCACATGTTCAACAAAGCAGCTGCAGAACAAAAACCACACAGCAAAGCCCAGAAACCCCTCCCTGTGCCAGTTCCACCCTCCCCACTGGCCTCCATTGTGAATTCACATCATTTGCAGGGAGCAGAAATGAGTGCACAAACCATTTTGCCAGCAGGACCAGTGGGTGGCTCCTCCCGTGACTCAGGCTCATGATGCTGTAGCCATAGTTGTGCCAATCAATGATGAGTCTGCTCCCCCACCACAGCCCTGCCACCCAGGCAACAGCTATACTGGGTAAGCCTGGGGGATTCTGCTCAAAAACAAAACCAAAATAGCATCAGGCTGTGACCAAGTGACAAACACAAGGTAAATACCAGAAGCAAAAATCAAACTGGAGTTGCATCACCTTAAAGGAGCTTCATGGACAGAGACTGTTTGTGTTCACTTATGAACACTGGCAGGTACTTCAAATTTAACCCTGGATCGAGATCAAAATTCCCCTCCAATAAACACACCAACACTTCCAGTAAGATTTATTCCTTACTGCTACCCATGGCAGTGAAGTTTGAAAGCACAAGAACTAATAGGAAGACAAAACTTGACTTGTTAACAGACCAATCCAAGTTTAGAGCCAAAAAATACAGGTTGCTGCATACAGGTTTACACCACTGAAGAGGCCAGCTCAGCTCTGAAATAATTACAATAATGTCTGAGATGGCCAAAACCACCCTGTGAAGCATTTATTTGTACTGAAATCAGTCCCAACACAAAACATACCTGAAGGAGAATGTAGGATGGCTGCTCTATCCTCAGCAACATGTACAGTAACTGCACTGACTGCACGAGCACCTTCAGGACATACTGTAAAAGCTTTGGCCCCACTGCAGAGTGACAGAAAAACAGGTAAGAGAATTACAGCTCTCCCCACAGAAATGTGAATGTCAGAACCAGCCAGCTCTGCAGAGACAGGGGCACAATAACATGGAAATGGAAACACTTTACCAATCACCTGGGTGCACCAGGGGCACCCTGAGCAAGTTTGCACCAAGCTGGGTGAGAGTGTCAATGTGCTGGAGGGTGGGAAGGCTCTGCAGAGGGATCTGGACAGGCTGGATCACTNGCTGGCACAGGTGCCCAGGGGGTGGCAGAGTCCCCATCCCTGGAGGGATTTAGAAGCCACGTGGATGTGGCAGTTGGGGCCATGGGTCAGTGTGGCCTTGGCAGTGCTGGGACAATGTTTGGACTCGATGATGTTGGAGGGTTTTTCCAGCCATAACGATTCCATGGTTCTGTCCTCAGAGCAGGCCCACAAGCCGGGGAACACACAGCAGGGAGGGCAGTCCTTGGGCACACAGGGGAGCTGTTGGTGCTGTGATTTGTGTCCCACAGGAGCTCGTGGCTCTCCCTGAGCTCTGCCCTGGCCCTGCTGCTGGTGCTGAGTGCCCTGGGGAACGTGGGGCTGCTGCTGCAGGGGCGGTGGCGGCAGCACCGTGACTATCGCGACTATCGCTACCTCCCCCTGCGGGACATCAACGGGGACAGCACTCACAGCCCCACCTCTGCTGCCTGGCACCACAAGCACCTTCAGGAGCCTGAGGACATCCAGGAGCCCGAGGACACTTAGGAGCCAAACCAGGAGTTCCTTTAGAATCATGGATGGGATGAGGATTTCACCCTGCATTGCCCCTCAGCACTGACTGCGACTGGGGCTGTTCTGCCTCAGCCCAGAACTGCCCTGTTGTGGCTGTGCTTTCCTTTCCTGTGCTGCCCTGCAGCATCAGGGGATGCAGGACATCCCTTGGGTGAGGGAATTCCACAGCTGCAGCAGCAAAGGAGATGGGCTGGTTCCTTCCAGAACTGAAGGCAAACAGGTGAGGGATGCAAGTCAGCACCTCCAAAAGATCCCTGCTCACCTGAGCAGTGCTTTTGAAGATGCTAAGCTGCCTCTAGTACAAAGCTGGGTTTAAGGGTATTAATCAGTGTCTGCCTTTCCTTGCTAAGCTGATTTTAATCAGGAAAGTGACCGAAAGTTTGTTCTAAAACGTTGAAGCAGGTGCAGCAGCCAGTGCCAGCAGAGCCCTCCCGTGCCAGCCGTGGTGGTGGCTCAGGGGTGACACAGGGTTGTGACAGCCCTGCAGGGCTGGGGGGTTTTCTCACCCATCCTCAGGCCAGAGCAGCCCCAGAGGGTGCTGAGTGCTGTGCTTTGGGGCAGCTCCTGCAGCACAGCACCAGGAAAGCCCTCTCAGCTCCAGCTTCCATTTGTGCATCTCTCCAGCTCCCAGCAGCCAAAGGCTCTGCCCAGCTCTGAGGGACCCTGGCACAGCCTGGAGCTGTCCCTGAGGGGGAGGGCACNTCCCGGGGAATGTCCCGGGGGAATGTGGAGTGCCAGGCAGCAGCTGGGTGGGTGCGTGGGGCTGCTTCTGCTCTCCAGAGCATCCGAGGCACAGGTGGTCTGAATACGTTGCCTTTAGGAGGCAGCTCTGTGCCTCAGTTTCCTTTTCTGCTCCAGGTTGTGCTCTGGGTTTTTGTGAGGCTGCTGATGGGCAGGGCTGTGTATTATGCTGTGTGACAGCAGCTGCTTCTCTCCCCTCCCCTTACTGTTCCTTCTTCACCTCCCTCTCCTACTTTATAAGTTTTACAAGTGTGCAGTTGCTACTCTTGCATGAATCTGAGCCTAGGGATTGCTGGAATGTGTGTCCCCAGCTTCTGCCCCTCTGTGCCCATCCCTGTCACCCTGTTCCTCTCATTCAAGTGAATGAGAGCTTGCTGGGTGCAGGTGTTGTCCCAGGGAATGCCATCAGGGATTCTGCTGCATTTGCAGCCGGGGAGGGGGGTGTGAACCCACCCTTTGTGTGAGTGCAGGGTTCCTCTTCTGGCAGGGGTAAGAGGGCACCTCCAGAGGCAGAGGCTCCTAATTTCAGGTCCTTGCTGCCTGCCTGTGTGTTGTTGTTGTCAGTAATGCCTGTTCTGTGTTTGCATAGCTGGATGCCTCTGTGACGCCGGCTGGACTGGCAGCAACTGCACTGAAGGTAAACCCTGCCTGCTGCTCCCCTGCCTCTGCACAGCCAGCGAGGGGCAGTGGGAGCCACTTCCCAGCAGCTGCCTGCCCCAGGGGACAGCAGGGAAGGGAGAGGCTCCCTGAGGGCTGGGCTGCTCTTTTCTGGCAGTTTGAATGAGTCCAATGCAGCTGTGGCATCGCAGTTGGCTTGGTGGGAGACACTCGAGTCCTTGCTCCTTGTTCAGGGCACACACTCAGCTGGTGGGAGCATCCCTCCCCCGGGGTGGGCTGTGGCTGTGTGCTGGCACTGCTCACCCCTGCCCTGGTGCCATCTCTGTTTGTGTCCCGCAGCGTGTGCTCCCGGCTCCTTCGGGCAGGCCTGCAGCCAGC